AAGTTCCAAATCAAAGTAAAATGAAACTGAATCAAAAGCCATCAAAATATTACATAAGAACATAATGAGAAGAAGGGACACCACACATCAAAAAGCTGGTAAGGAAATTTAACTTAATGCAAGTAACTTTCTACATGGGCAAATAGGGATAGGACAAGGGAAAATCTTTCTTAAACTAAAAGAGTAGAGATTTGGATAAGAAATTAAGAAGGAAGTCTTTACTCCTAGAGGGGGATGAGCCACTGGAACAGGTTGCTCAGTGAAGTTGTAGATGCCCAACCCTGGAAGCGTTCAGGGTCAGATTGTATGGCACCCTGAACAACCTGCTCTGATGGGAAGTGTCCCTGCCCATGGCAAGGGGGGTTGTAACTAGATGATCTTCAAGGTCCCTTCCAACCCAACCCAAGTCTTTCTAAGGTTCCAAAGCTACCCACTTTGTAAGAAAGATCAATTTTTAAAAAGTAATGGCTTTTATGGAACAAAGATCCTCATTCTTCTGCTTACATACAAAGCCAGATGCTAGAATGAATACAAAGTCCCCTTCCTAAGATTGATTCCAAATAGGAACTCATTAAATTTTGTTGACAGAAACAAGAATTAGCTTCTTGAGAGATCAGCAGCACTGCTGAAAATGTTTTATTTATTGTTGAACTGATGTTCACCTCTAATCAAACAAAACCAAATTCACCATTAAAAACAAGCCACATATTCATGATGACAACAAAACTACTAACATCCTTCTGTGTGTATTTGTCTCACAATTATCACCATCCTAGAGATAACCTTAACACCTATAACGGTCTGGCTGTTCACCACTCTATGCTACAGGAAAACAAAGCAACCCTCTCAAGATGCCAATGAAAGAGAGAGGAATTAAGCATCTTCCTTCTCCCAAGCAGCTGCATAGGCCTGTCACTCCTCCACTGTGTTAGACCTGTCAACAAGGGCAATACACTTCTTGTAACAGCTGACAGTAAAGGCCATTTTATTAAGAATGAACACACAGACATCATGATTTATCAGTTAGTACTGCAACCGTAGGTACAGATTCATGGCATCATTGCACTGTGCAATCCCGGGATGCAAACAACCAGGCTCTTCTTTTCCAGAATACTGACACCCAAAACAAACTGCTCAGTCATTAATCTTTTAACATTTCAGTCTCTCACAAACCCACCTAATGCAAATCATCACCCTGAGAAAGCAATGGAAGAACTTTGGAATTAGGTGGGACACAGCACCTGGGAAACCAGTGGGAACCTGGGAACTTTCCTCTACGAAGAGAAGCTGAGAAAGTTGGGGCTGCTCAGCCTGAAGGAGAGAAAGTTGCACGGACAGCTCACAGCAACTTTACAGTATCTGAAGTAGGTCTACAGAAAAACCAGAAAGGGACTCTTGGTCAGGAACTGTAGTGACAGGACAAGGAGTACCGGGTACAAATTGAAAGAGAAGAATTTAAGTTAGCTATTAGGAAGAAATTCTTTACTGTGAGGGTGGTGAGACATTGGAAGAGGTTGCTCAGAGAAGCTGCCGATGTAGCGTCCAAGGCCAAGCTGGAGGGGCCTCTGAGTAACACAGTTTAGTGGGAGGTGTTCCTGTCCATGGCAGAGGACTTGGGAAGAGAAAATCCTTCAGGTCCCTTCAACCTCCTAAACATTCTAAACATTCTAAATTTCCAGGAATTTCGGCAGGATGCAGCACCAGCAGCAGCTCTGGGGTGTCACCTCGTCTTCCTCCTGCAAGGCGACCCTGCTGCAGCCGAAGGAGCCCGCAGGTTCTCCCGCACGGAGCCGGCTGCCACTTCCAGCCCGGGAGGCGCGGCACTCCAGCCCGCCCGCTCACTCATCCACCGGCCCTCGTTCTGGTACCGAGGTAGGCCGGGGCCGCGTCCTCCGAACGGGGTGAAGACGAGCGGGGAAGGCCACGGGCAGCAGAGTGGCGCCTTTCCCCGCCCCGGGGCCGCCCGCCGCCGCCGCCGCCGCCGTCACCACCACCACCACCACGGCCCTCCTCCCTCAACCCCCGGCCCCCGCGCTCGCTCCTCACCTGCGCCAGGCAGGGCCTCGGCCCCCCAAGAAGGCCCCTCCCGCAGAGCAGCTGCTGCAGCGGGGCCCCGGGCAGCCCCCGGCGGCAGCCACCGCCCCGCGCCAGCAGCAGGTACCGGTGCGCCATGGCCGCCCGGACCCGCCGTCACCACCGGCCCGCGCCGCCTGACGTCACCGCGCCTCCGCGTGCATTTCCTCTGCGTCCGAAGGGCACCCTCCGACCACGCCCCCTGGCGGAGGCCACGCCCCTGGAGGTCACGCGCTGTTCTCTGGCCACGCCCACACCGTCACCGTCGGAGCCCCGCCCTCCCTGGAGTGCAAGGGTTTCTCAAAATCCCGGGATCAGTCGGGCTGGAAAGATCTCTAGGATCACCGAGTGCAACCTGTGACCCAACACCACCACGTCAACTAGACCATGGCACCAAGTGCCACGTCTGAGCTCTTCCTGAACACTTCCAGGGACAGTGACAACACCACCTCCCTGAGCAGCCCATTCCGATATTTAATCATCCTTTCTGTGAGGAATTTCATCCTAATATCCAACCTGAACCTCCGCTGGCAGAGGTTGAGGTTATGTTCTCTCGCCCTGCTTGCCTTGGACAAGAGACCAACCCTCACCTGGCCAAAACCTCCTTTCAGGCAGTTGTAGAAAGCGATATGGATCCCCCTGAGCCGCCTCTGCTCCAGGCTAAACACCCTCAGCTCTTCACAGGACATGTACTCCAGACCCTTCACCAGCAATGCTGCCTTTCTTTGGACACGTTCCAGCACCTCAATGTCCTTCTGAACTGAACTCAATATTTGAAGTGTTGCCTCACCAGTGCTGAATACAGGGGGAAAATCCCTGCCCTGGTCCTGCTGGCCACACTGTTTCTGATACAGGCCAGGGTGCCACTGATCTTGGTCACCAGGGCACACGCTGGCTCATGTTCAGCTCTTGTTGATCAGCACCCCCAGGTCCTTTTCCGCTGGCCCACTTTCTAACTAGTCTGACCACAGCCTGTAGTGCTGCATGGGGTTATTGTGGCCAAAGTGCAGGACGCAGCATTTGTTCTTGTTGAACCTCATGCCATTGGTCCCAGCCCATCTTTCCAGCTTGTCCAGATCCCTTTGCTGAGTCAAGGGTGCGGGTGAGTCAGCGGGGCATGGCCCGGCCCAGCCTGGCCAGCATCACTGAGAAGGGTGGGTCTCCTTGCTGCCAGGGCTGGTTTAGCCTGCAGTAATGTTCTACAAAGCCTGGAGGTAGGAAATAAGGAAACCTGTCTCCTGTTTTTGCCCCATTATGTAAGGCATTTCATATCGACGTGTTTGCTCTAGAATGAATCTGTGCAAAGTCCTCTAGGTGAACTCAGGCATTTGGCATTACCACTGTTAAGGAAACATCTCAGTCTGACCATTCACAAGACTCTCTATCAGTCACATTCCCAAGGCCAGAGACTTTCACTGCTGGGACCAGAACCCTTTCCAGCGGACAGCTCCAGTGCGTCCACAGGTGCCCCACTCGACTCCTCTCACACCAGGCCAGGTTTCCTTACTGGATCCACCCCAGGTTCCTTACAGCAGAGTCTCATTCTGTAAAACAATTTTTTCATGGTGCAGTAACACAGAAACAGCCCCAGCCTATTCCTGAAGGGACTCCAACAAAGGAACCCCTAGGTTTCTATACTCCCACAGTCCAGCCACATGCAAATCTTGCTCTTACTCATGAGTCATTGCTCCTGCTGTGTCTCCCAGTGTCCATTCACCTGGCTGGCACAACCAAAGGATTGGCAGCTCATGGCCTCTTGTCTCAGGTTCCCACTGAGAGTTCCATCGAATATCTCAATCTGCAGCTTGCAAACCGAGCTACTGCCCCACATGTATTCCTCAACAATCACTTCATCCCTGGGCACAGCCCTGCACGTGCTGTCCCTGGCTGCATGTCACCCCCATGGCTGTTATTAGGGTATTTAATAAAAACTCCTGGTTTGATTAAACCGAAACACTGCTAGCTCACAGAATCCTAGAATCACAAAATAGGAAAGGAAAGGACCATAGTGGGTCATCGGGTCCAACCTCCCTGCTCACCCAGGGTGAACCAAGAGCACATGGCACAGAGCTGCATCCAGATGGTTCTTGAATATCTCTAGTAAGGGAGACTTGACAGCCTCTCTGTTCCAGTGCTCGGTCACCCACACAGTAAACAAGTTCTTCCTCGTATTTATCAGTTGGAGTGAGCTTCCTGTGCATCAGCTTCTGCTGTGGTTTCTTGTCCTAATGCCTGGCACCACCAAGCAGAGCCTGGATCCATCCTCTTGGCACCCTCCCTCTAAATATATATACACATTTATGGGGTCCTCTCTCAGCCATCTTCTCTGGAGGCTGAACAGGGCTAGCTCCCTCAGCCTTTCCTCCCTCATGAGAGAGATGCTCCAACTCCATCATATTTGTAGCTCTCCACCAGACCTGCTCCAGGAGCTCCATATCTCCTTTGTATTGAGGAGTTGGGTTTGTTTGTGAGGACCAAGGGTAGCAGTCAGCCAATGGTAATGCAGAACTGCTTTCTCAGGATGTGCCTTTCCAGCGCGATCTGTATCAGGGGAGGTTTAGGTTGCATATCTGGAAAAGATTTTTTACCTAGAGGGTGTTTGGGCATTGGAACAGACTCCCGATAAAATGGTCACAGCACCACGCCTGACAGAGTTCGAGAAGTGTTTGGATAACGCTGCCGGGCACACGGTGTGATTCCTGAGGCTGTCCTGTGCATGGCTACAAACTGGACGTCGATGATCCCTGCGATTCGCTTCCAACCCGGCGCCCCGTGTGACACTGGACCACGCCGGCGCGCGCTCCTGCGCATGTGCACTGCGTCACCTCTTCCACGGGCGCGGGAGGGGCGGGGCGGTGACGCAGGTGCGTGACGCGCGCGCTGGCCTGGGCACGCCCCCGCGCCCCGCCTGGCGGCAGCTCGCGCTCGCCGGGCCGGCGCGAGGCTGTCAGTCAGTCGGGCACCGCAGCCGCGTGCCCTGCTTCCCACCCTCCTTCTCGCCATTCCCGCCGCGCTCTGAGGGATACACCGCGAGTGGCCATGAAGATCTGGAGCTCGGAGCACGTCTTCGGGTGAGGGGGCCGGGGGGGAGGGCCGGAGGGCGCGGCGAGACCCCGGCGCTTCGCCGGGCAGGGCCGTGCGGGGTGAGCCGGGTCCCGCCGGGGTGACGGCGCAAACGGGAATGCTGCGGGCGCTGCCGGAGAAGGAGGAGGAGGGAGACCGGGAACGGGCTTCGGCTGTGCCGGTCCTGCATCGCCTCGAGCTCCTTCCTGCGTGGCCGGACACTCCGCCTGGGCTTCTCCTAAGCTCGGGAATAGCATTCCAACAGGATGGAGTGGTAGAGCTGGCCCGACAGCGTGATGGCTTGATAAGGGGCTGGGTGTTCAGGAAAAATAGCTTTCATGCTATAAATAAAAATGAATCCCAAGCTACTGATGTAGCCGACGATATATTCCAAGAGGTGTGGACAGAGTGTCTGTGTCCCTTAGCTTAGCCTCAGGCGCTGCCGCTGAGGTGCTCAGCAGCCAGCTCTCTGTGTAAGTGTTCTTTCCATCAGTGCTTTTCTGCATAGAATGTGGTTCCGGCCATCCGGTTCCCCCTTCGCCTAATGAGGAGCCAGTAGGGAAAAGTATCAGGCGGTGTGTAACACAAGCTGTCCCGGGGAGCTGGCGTGGAGGGCTCGGCGCTGCCGGTGCAGCTCTGGAAATGCCACTACCGATGATTCATTCCTCTGCTACAGGTGTTCCGAAAGTCTTGGAGCCCGAAGAGCACCGGGGGTGATAGTTCTTAAAATATTTACAAAATATCCCAGATGTGTTGCTCTAAATTTCTTTAGTTATCTCAACACAACTGAATTCCTTGCGCTGATGCAGGTACTCGGAGCTCCACTTCAGCATTGGTCTGGTGTAAGTGAACTGTGGTTTCTAGCAGGAAATATCAGGCAGAGGCTGCTCGAGCATGACACCACTCCCGAGTCTGAGATGAGTATCTACCACCTAGGGAATGCAAAAGCTGTTTTTATTTGACATTTTCTCATCAAGTTCTGTATTAGAACACCCCCATCTTATGGCGTAATGTGTGTGGGTGTAGGTAGTTAATTTGAATGGTTAATAACATGTTGTTGTGCCTTATCAGATGTCTGACTCAATCCCTTAGGGACATTTAACAGAATTTTGTCATTTTCAGTCTCTGTATCTTCTGTTGATGGAGGTGTAGAATCACCAAAGATGGAACTAGAGCAATCCTCCAGCTCTCCTTCTGCTGCAGGAATTGAGGGCTCTTATTTCTCTTGCTTGCACCAGTAAAGCTTTCTGACACTTTCCTTGTTAGAAAAATTGCTTATTTTTCCAACTTTCTGTTCGTTCATGTAGTGCTTCTATACAAGTCTATTTTAAGATTAAAATAAAATCCATTTAGGGCCCTGAGTGCAACTCTTAAGTACAAGTTGGCACCCCTAAGCTTTCTTAAGTTAGATACCAATTGCTGAATTTTTAAACATACCTTTAAAGGCTTTAAGGCTATCATATCCAGACAGTCAGTTATTCTGAATATAGAAATAATTAGGGACAGAATTTACCTGTTGGATCAAGTCCATGATTTCTGTAGCCTACTTTTGTTTCAGAAGGAAATATCTGAAGTACCTCAAGGGCTGTGTGGACCGTCTGGCCTTGAGTAGCAGGACTGCTCCAATCCGAGGAATTTGAGGTTATCAAAAGTAATTTCATAAAAACAGTTTTGAGAAGAGTATCCATAAGTGGAGTTCATGCTCAGACACTGCTGGAAGCAGTAGTGTAGGTACAGACATCAGGCTGTGACCTGATGAGGTTTCTAAAAATCTGTTTCTTTATTTTGAACTTCCCAATCATCCTGTTTTAGTAGAATTTAATTTCACTTTGCGCTTTTTTTTTTTTTTTGCTATAGGAAGGAGCAGAAGCTAGTGATGTCCTCTTTAGTTTATTCAGTATGCTTAGAATTATAGAAAAACTGATGGTGGAGTGGATTCCTGGAGGTCATGTAGTCTAGCCCTCTTTTCAAAGCAGGGCAAGCTTAAGTGTTAGGTCAGCTTGCTTTTCTGGTGGAGTTCTGGAATGAGCTGAGATTTCCACCGTCTCTGTGGGCACTACTTGGAATGTCACTTGTAGCAGTGAATGACTGTTGCCCCTTGCCTTCATTTTTCTTACTCTTGCGTTAATAATTCCTTGCTTCAGTCTGGAGAGAAGATTCCTTCTGTTTTTGTGTCAGTACTCTCTTATTGCCTTTCCAAGGATAACTGTATTCCAAAGGGACTTCAGGGAGCTATGAAGCTGTGCAGACTGTACCATATTGCACAACCTATATCTTCATTTAGTATCATCTGAATACTTGCAATTCAATACAAAATACCTATAAATACTCTCACCTCTTCCTTTAACAGGCATCCCTGGGATACCGTGATCAAAGCTGCTATGAGAAAGTACCCCAACCCCATGAATCCGTGTGTGGTAGGAGTAGATGTCCTCGACAGGAGCCTGGATAACCAGGGGAGGCTGCACAGTCACCGTCTTCTCAGCACGGAGTGGGGATTGCCCAGTATTGTCAAAGCGGTACAGTTTTGCAGCCTTCGTTCTTTATTAAGGATTTGATCCCTTTTATGTCATCCTCTGAATTGGAGTTGACTTCCAAGTAAAAATCTGAAATTTGTGTATGTCTGTAAATGCCTTCCAGACTGGTCTGTGCCATGCTCTATGGCTGATACAATCTAGACAATGAAGTCTTAGCACTGATCACAATCCTCTGGTATCCATGAATTATTTTGTATTTGTTTGGAGTCACTGAGATCTTGGCATTTATGTGTTTTAAGATGCAGTTTGTTTTTGTTTGTTGGATTTTGGTACTTAACATTTCTTTCCCCCCTTCAGATACTAGGAACAAGTAGAACTCTGACTTACATAGAGGAACATTCTGTGGTAGATCCAGTAGAAAAGAAGATGGAGCTTTGCTCAACTAATGTGAGTAGTGGCTTAATAAGTTTCTGATAATTAGTTCTGGAAGTTGGATGTTTTGCTCGTAACATTTAGATTAGAAATGTATCTGTGTCTTTCATTAGAGCCAACAATTTACATGTCTTAATCAGTGTCTTAGATGACTCTTTTTCTCTTTTTCTTCTTCTCATAATTTAAATACTTCATCATCAAACATTTGTGATTCTATTTTTAATGTAAGATTATTTCCTGGAATGCATATATAATAGTTTGACTTTTAGATGAATGAGTTCTGTCATTTCCAACAAAAGTTCTAATGTGAAATGCCTTTTTTCATAGAACGTGAATGAAGTATTGTGCTGTATTTTGGTATCCTAGTAACGCATAGCTCTCAAATTTAACGTGGGGTTGTCTGTAGGAGAGCCTTGTCTCTGTACAAGAGACCCTGTCCTTCCTGAATGTTAATTTTCTGTCTAGTCTAGGTAGTGCTGTGGGGGTCTGGAAGAGCCTCTCTTATTCACTGGTCATAAATCAGACTTGACATTCAGAGAAAGCTGTTGGTGCTCTGTCCTGTGAATGGGAACTTTGATATAATTAGATCAAGGATAGGAGAAGATGCATCACCCTTTATAGGTCTTTTTATTGACTGTGTTCTGGGTTTTATATTCTGTGTACAGTATATTGACATTAAATTGAGTGCTCTGCTATTGAGTAGTGCTGCTGATAACAGAAAAATGAAAGGTAGGAAGTGAGGATTTCAGCTCTGTTTTTGTTCTTAAGATTACGCTCACAAACTTGGTGTCTGTTGACGAGAGATTGGTTTACACACCTCATCCAGAAAACCCAGAAAAGTAAGTAGCAATATTTGTGTGTGTCTTTGTGTCTAGGAGACAATTTGTTAGTCTACTTCAGCTTAGGTGTTAACCTTTCTTTATTCCCTTATAGGACTGTGCTAACTCAAGAAGCAATTATTACCGTTAAAGGCATTAGCTTGAGCAGTTATCTGGAAAGCTTGATGGCAAACACAATATCTTCTAATGCCAGAAAGGTACATCTTTGTTCTGTTTTCTCCCTCTCCCCCCCGACCCAATCGTTCTTTCTTTTGAAATAGTAATTGTCAATGGTGTGTGTTGAATGTTGTGTTTAATTTCCCTCGATTTTGTGCACGGGGTTTCAATAGATTTTTTAATGGAACCTCAGCAACCTATTTCTAGGAGTTAGTGCTAGTAGAAAATGGAACTTCACTTTCAGTCTTTATAATGTGGATTTATCAGTTAATGCCAGCTTATTTTCTATGCTGCTTTTGTCAGTTGTTCCAGTTCATATCCATTATTGATCTGTCTCCTTGCCTTTGGCAGAAAGTAATGTAGTGTAAGCAGAAGCATGTTCTTTGAGGAGGTGAGACTGTGCTAGCTCACCTGGGTAACACTGCACTGACTGCTCTGTCCTGTCCTGCTTGCTTTTTCTATTTGGCCTGCAGCCATGGAGCTGCTCTTCAGCACAGGCAGAGCTACAGGCATGCTTATTCTTGGGCGTTTTGTCCTACAGTTCTTTGGGGAAGAAATGGAATTGCTAGAGAAGCATAGGCCTTGCTGCCTAAGGAGTTTGAGATTGTGTTCTGCATTGCTGGAAAGATTCAGCCCAGTGGGAATCTGGCCCAGGTAACTCCTGCTGTGCCAGAGATCCTGTGCTTTGGCCACGCCTTCATCCTTCTGAGGGATACTCCTTGACCAAGCCAATGTAAGCCAACTTGGTAGGACCAACTAGATCAGAGAGGAGAAAGCTTCCTTTTCTACCCTTCTGTGTGCTTCTCCTAAGGTGAGAGGAAAACATGTTAAAATTAGGGGATGGAGAAGAAGTGGTGGGTCGTTTCCAGACACTGAAGAGTACCTTTACCTAGCTGGGTGCTCTCTGTTTTTTGAAATGGAAGGTATTTCAGTTAAATTACAGTATCCAGTTTCTATTTAAAAGTCTCTGTTGAGCGTATATTCTTGAAAGAGGGGAACAAACCCTGGCTCACAACCAAATTTCAGTCTGACCCAGAGGTAGCAAAGCATTGTTTAGTTGGCTGGTGTGCCAGATCAAGTTAGGCACACTTGAAAATGCTGGCAAAATTCCTCTTGAGGCATCAGTTACATTTGCATGTCTCTTTTGAAATAAGAGAAACTATAAATATTTATTGGTACCTGTTGAGGTGTTGCCTGTGAGAAAGCCCAATTTCTTGTAAAGATTGTTCTGCTCTGCCATTTTCAAGCTTACAAGTCTCTTGCAAATTAGAAAGATCTCTTGTCCTGTGTATTTCACTGAAAAGTCTCCACAGATTTTGAACTTGTCAGGAATTTGTAATTGCTGTTACCAACCCTATCTTTGCTAACCAGTACCTACTGTGCTATTACTAGCTCTTCTTGCATTCTGTGCTGTGCCTCTGTGCTCTAAACACCCCTCTTAAACTTTATGACAGTTACTGAAAAATGTTTTGTTGTTCTGAAGAAATAGGAATTATTGAGACTTTGCTCTGAGGTAGCAGTGGCAGGTGATGCTTTACTATTTTTAATGACGATGAAAAAATCATTTGCTGTTTGTTGTAAATCTTTTTGTGTTACTCTAGGGGTGGGATGCTATTGAGTGGATAATTCAAAATTCTGAAAGCGCTCTAAGCTAGCAGTTCTCCACACCTGCAGTTTGTACTAACTAGTGGTAATGCCAGCATTCTTCTTCTTGGTACAGCATTTCAGCTTTCTAGCAAATCTGTGCATGGATTGTTGTCACGTGGATTTCATAAATTACCCTGCATGTCTGTTTTACACCTTGCATACAGGAATGGCAGACCTGTTCATTGCTCTGCAGTTGTAGAGGGTGAGCGTAGCCCCAGTCCAGGCTGGATCCGTGAGCCCGTGCTTGTGCCACTGGCAGCCAACGTGCTGCAACCATGTCTTATGCCACACGGTCTTGCTTAAGGCTTGTAGACTGCAGACGGCTAGGGGTGTGAAGGAGTCCCTCCACCGAGTGTGTGATCTGGGCCTAGTTTTTGTGATTTCGGTATGTAAAGCTGGTACTGAAAGAAATTAATAAATTGGCTAGTGAGTGGAATTAGTTTGATAAAAAATGAAACAGAACTCTCTTGTTAGGATATAAAATTCAGTTCTTGAAACAGGTTGCCTAACAGGGGTAATGTTTTGCGTAGAGGAATTGTATTTGCTTTTCTTCTGCCTGAGGATTAGTGTTGCCCTTCTGAGGAAATCTGTGCAGAGCTTGAAATTATCAGGATGCCAGACTGTTCCTGCTTTTCTTTGGTCTTGTAGTTATATTCATTTTGATAGTGACATATCCCTGCAGTCATATGACCATGAACAAATCTGAGTTCAGGGTTGAGAGAACTGAGTGTATTTGCCTCTGTGACACCTCTGTGCAGATTGTTTTCCTTCCACCAGTCAGCGTAGCCTGTCCCTGTCATTCCTGTATTGGCTTCTGCTTCAACCAATAAGATTTCTTAAAAAGAAAGAAATCCATTTTGCTGCTTCTCCTAGTTAAGAAAGTTGGGCTTTTTACACTGCTTACTTTGAGATCTGTGTATGTCATGAGTGTTTGGTTTTGTTCTCATTCCACTAAGCTTTTATGGCTGTTTTTCTGGAAAACATCAACTACAAAGGCTCAGCACTTATCAGTCACTTAAGCCCTACCAACAAATCTTCATATGCAGCGCTTGTTTTGCCAGCCACTTCATGCTGCTGACACCTGCAATAATGAATAACAACATGCATGCCTGGGGATGAGTGTGCTTGCTTAATGACTGACTGCAAAACTTGTACAGTATGAGAATTTATAGACAGTCCTCTGTCAGATTTTTTCTGATAATTGGGTAGTTTTGTGGCACTTGGAGGTTTTGTATCTGATTGAGATTTCTAATTTAATTTCCTGTGCAGAATGTTTCTGAAGTCTTCCTTGCCAAAATCATGAGTTTATTCTTAGCTGCAAAATATGGCATATAGTATATGCAAGTCTAAGGAGATATGCACAGACCTATGTATTCTCAAAAACTGGAGGAAGGGTATTTGGTGCTCCAGTTGAAGGTCATGGAATTTTTTTCTTAATTTATCTCATCAACAAAGATACCAAGTAAAACACAATGATGTGATTGTTTCAAGTCAGGGCCTGAAAAGAATCTCAGTGTTTTTCTTCTGAGTGTTTTCTATGGCAAGGGTGTTTGACCTTCTGACAAGTCTTCTTTGAGCAATATAACAAATATAACATCCAAGCTGTTGCAGTTTCAGTTCTGTGTGCCTGTGTCACCTCAGAGAGGATATTTAAACTTGACTTTTAACTGAAAGATGATTCCTCCTCCCTGCCCCCCACTTTTTCCTTACTGGGCACTCATCTCAGTTAATTTACGGCTGGTTACAACTTGTTCCTGTGCAGTAGCTTGCCCATGTCTGGGTGCTTTTATTTGTGCTTTGCTGGTGTTCCCAGGTCTTGCACAACCTGTGGAGAAGGTGGAAGTGACTCCCTGCTGAAGAGCAGTCACTTTGGTGCTCAAATGGAAGGAAGTCGGAGGTTAAATCATCCCTTCTAAGGTCTTTTATCAGCAATGTGTACTTAAAGTGGACAATTTCAATCATGCTTTCTTGAATATTATTAGTAGCTTTTAAAGGGTTCTCTTGAACTAATTAACTTAAACATCCTAGTTCTTAAGGTAATTTGGGGTGGAGCTGCATCTCCCTTTCCGAGCCTAAACCAAGAATTGAACACTTTATTATGATACCTTTATTATGATTATGACTTTTCTCAGTTTTAGGACTGCCTGCCAGTGCAGAAGTAGCAATTAGTGTTTATTTTTTGAGTCCCTGGAATATGGAAAACCTAAAGAGAAACCAAGTCAGCCCTTCACTGACCTTAGTGGGAGTCTTGAGATAACTGTGCTCCTATTCACAGTAAAACTTTATTTCTTTTAATAGGTTATACTTTGCACTCTGGATCTGGGCTTTTCATATTATTCCAGACTAATGTTTCTAGCCTGGCAAAAAAATCCTTGAAAGAGTGTGTGAGCTTTCTTCTGACATTCTTTTTTCCTTAAATTTTCAAAGCTGCTTATGCGGATTCTTGTTCATGCTTAGTAGTCTGTAAAGGACAACAGCAGGTTTTGGACACTGATGTTTCTGAGCACTTTATCACCTTTAATGAATACAGAAAAATTAGCATGTCACAGTTTGGAACAAAGCTCTGTGTGCAGAGGAGGTCCTTTCTGTCAATGTCTACAGAAGGCTTGAACACTGACAGTGGCTCTCCTGAACATTTTTTACTTTTTTGGGCTCAGATCTTTATCTCCAGAATTCTAAACTTGGCCAGAGCCATGTGGCTCCCACTTACTGCTTTCCACTGCTTGTATTTCTTATTCTTAGTAGAGTAATAAAGGTGAATGTCTCTTGACTTCTCTCTAAGTGAAAAAAGGCCAGGTGTTCTCCTGGTCTGATCCCATTTGCTTGACAAAAGCTGCTATTCTGAGCTTGCAGAGTTCTAAAATCTTGACTTTTGTTTAGTTAAACTCGTCTTTATTTTCTTGACTTCATTGTGCTGCTGGCATCTTGTTTTCATTGGGGTGCAGCTGCTACAGTCTTCTTCAGGTAAAACGTTTTTGCCAGGCTCATTGTCCTGGGTTCTCCAGCTCTTACTGAAACACTGGCTGTCACTTCTGAGCTTGAGACATTCCCATACCTTGATATAAAATGTGCAACTCCAGTCTCTCAATTAGTCTCATTTATCTGCTGAAAAGTGGCTGTGTATAAATGTAGAATTCAGTGTGAGTCCAGTTCTGAACTCTTGATAGATACCAGATCACTTAGCTGCTACTTTAAAGAGTACTTGGAAGACTTTCTTTGTCCTGGATCTTCTCAGAAACTCGCTATATAGCTTGGCTGATGAAACGGAGAACAGCACCTGGATTTTGCCATAAATCTGCTGATACTCTTTGGGTGGTGGGAACAGCGAACAGCAAAAACAGCAATTCTCTTAGGTGAGGAAACTTGACTGCTGAATTAGGCCTTTTGCCTCCGTGTGCTACTGGGGGCTCACACCAGCATTGCAGTTGCTTCTGGCTTAGGGGTGAAGCAAATGCCTTTGCAGTGAAATTTCCATAAGAAGATGCTAAGAAATTGTCAATATGATCTGATATCAAATTATGCAAGGCATGATACTGATTTTAAAACAAGTTTCATGTCTGACAGAGGAAGACCTATAGAAACATGAGCAGTGATGATGTGTCTGTAATGATCCTAAATTCTGGTGTTTTTCTGGCAGGGTCGGGATGCCCTGGAGTGGGTGATCAGCAAACTAAACACAGAACTAGAAGAGCTGAAGTCCACGCGTGAGGGGATCAAACCAGCCATGGCAGCAGCGTCCACAGAAAAATAAAGCCAAATATTTGGGTTCACCAAATAAAACCAAGTAACTGACAGAAAAGTTTTATTCTGCAGACTGCTCTGTAGAGCTCCCTCCCAAGGCTGATCTGCAGAGGTTTTGTCCATTTATAAGAACACCAGATCAGCGGAAAAGTAACCTCATCCATCATCTCCACAGCAGCTCTTGTTGCTACTGAAGATTGAACTGACCTCCTGCAGATGCTCTTTTCATTTGAACAATTTATGCTTAACACTGGAAACAAAGCATTTAGCACATTTAAAACAGCCTAAACGTGCCTTTTAAAACAAAGGTAGAGGGCATGTTATATTTACACCATCTCAAACTGAAAAGCTTGGAAAAGAAGCATGTGTGGGATTAAGAGTTTTCCATGTGAACTTTTGTTCTGTGAAGGGCTGATAGGTCCTGGAGCACTGAATTTTTTTTTTTGTCTGGTTTGTAATCTGATAATGTCTTATGGCCAGTTAAAGGGAACTACATGAGTCAGAACATGATACTGTAGAATTTGATATTTATCTAGAGGATCATCTTGAAAGGCTTCATCTTGTGTGGAACTAACTCTTCTTAGGTTATTTAAATGTGTTGCCTGAACATGACACACAGATACTTTACCTCTTAGATGTTTGTATCCAAACAAAGATAAAGTTTATATTGATGTTAATAGCCTAAAATAGTTTTTCTGGTTGGGAGAAGGGTGTAATTTATTTTCTTATTTATTAATTTGTCCTAGTTCCTCCCCTCCCTATGAGGGCAGGGGTAGTAATTACTGGAAGGTGCTGGAAGATACTTATTTATCTCTAAGAAGAGTATTTGTAGGCTACTGGAATGAAGAGACCGTGCTGTTCCACTGGTCCTTGCTCTTCACATCATGTCTTAATGGAGGGAGAAATTGATGCAATAACCAGAAGAGTTGAAATGAGAAATGACCAGAAAATTTTAAATCCAAAAGATAAGATTTCATCAAGAGAAACTTTTCATTCCCTGAATGGAGAAAAGAAGAGTACAAGAACCACAAATGAACTCTCCTTTCTAAATGCTTTCTGTTAACCAATGACTACCAGTGTAACCGAACCTTTTCAACACTTTTCCACGTGGGTACGAAATGGTTTTAAAATCCTTTGAATTGCTTCTCATTATCTGAAAAAATATTTCCATTTACTGCAGAAACTTTCCTATTAAATATGCATAAATATATATTGGTAATGACTCTAGCCTTGTCTGATGTTTACTGTATTGTCATGTTTGAATCAGATGGAGTATATGTTTCTCAGACAGAAACCTCTGTTAGGGAATTTTAACTTATTTTTTGGTGTGCACACAAAGTTAAATAAATGTTGCAAGGATGTTTACTTGTTCAACTGGCAAGCATGTGCTCAGGAAGCTGTTAAAGAGCATGAGTAACTTCTAAAAAAAACAGAAGAGTAAAATGTTGGTCACTGTTTTGATCTGATGATTTTAAAGTGTTTGTAGCTTAAGGGAATTTTCAGCACTCATATTCTGTTTAGTTTGAGAGTAAACTTTAATTTGGGTGTAACTAAGTTACATAATCCTAATTAATAAACGTTACAAAAATATATCTATTAGTTGAAGGCAATTAAATGAATAGCAAATATTTACATTGCTCTTTTTATGTGGACCTAATGCCCTTCCTGTTTTGGAACAGAAACTTAGAGCTTAAAGCAGCCCAGGTCTGGAAGATAAGATGGATGGCTTTGGTGCAGATCAGTTGTTGTCCTCTTCAGGAGTTATGCCACTTCCTGGGTGAGGAACACAGAAGATGCTGTAGCTCCTGGTGTTGTTCTGCTAGGCAGGGGAGTGCAGCTATGGCAGAGCTCTGCACAAAAAGGGAAAACTTGGTGGTGTGTGTACATTTGGAAACCTGTGCTGCAGCATTTCCATACATGCATGCTTGAGGGGATGAAAACAGGACTGTCAGCAGGGGTAGGAAAGCCTTTGGAGAGGTTGATGTATTGCGTTGATTTGGGAGAAGAGTTGTCAAAAGCTGCTTCTTGCATCAGAAATGAAATATTTACTTCGTGTTGTCTTATGTCTGGCTGACCTGCGCACTTCCAGCACTGGTTTCCCACAAAAATCACCAGGATTCTGGAGCCCAGCGCCTCTGCTGCACCCACAGGTCTTGTTCACTTCTTGCAGGAACTAATCGCTGTCTGCTTCTGTTGCAGCATCTCCTTCCTGTTTCCTTCCTCGCTAGTTTTAGGCTGCTTTCACTCCACCATTTCCTGCCACTTAGGAACTATGTGTCTAAATGCCTGATTTTCCAATCTGTCTGCTGCTCCACTTGCCAGCACTTTCCGTACCTGTGTTTAGTCCTTTCCCGCTTTTCTCTAGGCTAAAGGAGAGCGGGGAAGCTTTGGGTAGGAAAAAGACTGATTTCTTCTGGAGGCCCATTCTGTCACTCAGCTCCCTCTCATCTTAGGGGTAGGTGCCAGTTGTGCATCCATGGGATTATTGATCTTCCTGTGGCTGCTCATTTTGCCAGTGTGTACAAAGGACCTTGCAGAGGGTCACACTGAACCAGGTATGCTCCAGTGCTTAGGAGATGAAGTGGTTCTTCATTTCCCATAAGCTTTCCTGGGCAGTTTTTACCCTGCTCTCTGCCCTTATTGTTGGCATATGGGGCTTCCATCCTTCTTTTCCCTTGGCCATGTGACTGGTCAGGTCTATGAGATCTGGTGAGATCTCTAGTTGTCTGTGCTGTGCATAACACTATTTTTCAAGCATTCCAATTCGCATTCCTGTTCTTAGACTGTTATGGATTAAGTTCACCCTTGAGGCAAGAAAACTCCTGACTTTGGAATTATTTACGTTGCTCCTTAGAGAAATTCCTGCATCTTTTCTTTCTTTACTGGAAATGGCTAAAAAATATTACTGAAGTTGGTTTTATGTCACATGGATTGACTGAGGTGTCTCACAGACATAAAGTTTCATGTGAGGGAAAGTGTTACGCTGCTTGTGGGAGCAGCAGAGTGCAGCTTTTTGGATTGGAGCAGAAGGAGAAAAATGATACGTAGGAGGAAAAAAATTGTAAAGTAGAAATGGAGTAAAGTCAGTGCTAATTTACGTGGAATGATCTTGAAGTGCTGGGGGCCAAGCAGAAGAAAGCTCTGCTTGTAACCGTGTTGATTAATAGGTAGCAAGTGTCATCTTGAATAAGAATTCTGCACTTTTAGAGTTGAAAGTGGAACTGAAGTTGAGTTTTGTGAGTTGTGAGAGGGAGGTTGTTTGCAGCAGTTGTTCAAGCTGCAGTTTGGTATTTCTCAGCTGCTGGGTTGCAATTCAAAGGAAGTGGAGTGGGGGGTGTAAGGTAAGGAGGTGGTTGAATTTTAAGAATTTGGTGCCAGCACATCAGGTCTCCCACTGGGTAGAAGCGTGGCTGCTCTCCCCATCCCTACAGCTGTGCCACACACGCCTGCTGTGGAAGGAAGAAGCTGGGAAGAGCTGGTTCCTGACTGCAGGGGAAGCAGCGAGAGAAGACAGCAGCAGTGGTTCCCAGAGCATGGGAAATTGGGCATGTTAGTTCTTGGCCCTGATGGATTTTAGGACGTTGAAGATCCCAGACCCGAAGCAGATTGGCTTCTGGTTGATGTCTAGTTTTTGTGCTGGTGCAGGCTCATGATAGCAACAAAAGGTATTAATTTAAAACAGTGTAGTCAAATGGTCTGGTGTGTAATAATTTGGGTTTGTTTAGACTATCCTTTCTTTTTCTTAATTTGGCCTTGTGCCAGTGTGTGACTTCAATGCTCCCTCATGCTTTTTATTTCTTTTTGTCCATCGGCTCAGCAGGCAGGAAGGATTGCATTTGTTTGGATAACAGGCAATCCTAGTGAAAGCTCCCATATTCTCGAAAGTTTTGCCTAAAGTAAGCAAAGGCATTGAACTGCAGCAGGTGGTGTCAGGAACTGCTGCAGAGCACAGACTGGGCACTGATGTACTGACTGTAATAACCTAGCACTGAGCAGATGACCAGCCATATTCCTTGATGAGACACTTTTCATTCAAATCTTCAGGTGGAGCAGGTGGGGAGGCAGCACCATTCCTACTGTTGCACCTCCCTAGACTGAGAGCTGTGAAGGCCAGGGCTGTAAAGTGTCTATGTATCCTGTGGTGCTATCCAAAATAAATAAATAAATAAATATGCCATGTGCAGTTTAAAATAACACTTCTGGGTGTGACTGTGATAATATCTGATGTGCTGTTGGTTTTCTGAAAAAGCTGCAGAAGAATAATTTTCATTAGTCTGTGCTGGGTAGGAAGCAGGATCCAGTACCAGTCTCCCTGGAGCTTGCTGTAAGCCACACACTGCTCAAGAGCTCTGCAGGGGTCCTCTGGGCCTGGACTAGTAAGTCCATTTGGGACTGGCAGCTGCTTCATTTTGCATTAGGACAGGAAACACTCATCTAAAATCACTAGCTTTGGCTTGTAAATAAGACCTTATTTATCTAATAAACTATCGTCTTACCCCACCAACACTACTTGTCATCTGTCAGAATCATGCAAGGTTATGGGCTAAGCCTTTTAATCGCAGCTCCAGGGAGCAGGTCATGCTTTCACTATGGATTTGTTCAGTGAGAAGGCATTTCTGTGAAACACAAGTCCTGTCCTTTTAATTTTTCCACAAGTGATATGACATGACTGAGGTATGATTCTCATTTTACTGGAAGGCACCTGCAAGTGAAATGATCAGTAAGGTCTCCTAATGTGGTGCCCTGCTGGTACAATACCTTCTCTTTTACTCTGCTATAATTTTGTTTATGACCTTGCTAAGATCTGCAGCAGCTAAGGTTCAGGGCTCTGCCTGCCCAACTAATGTGGAACATGGCCTTGCCAGCTGTATTCTGTAAGAAATGGTGCCCATGGTCTTCACAGTTCCCTCAAGAAATCGAGAGCAATGCAGTATTTTTAAAGAGCTTTTTATTAGTAATGCATAAACAAGAAATTGCATTTCAGTACCACATAACATGGAAACAAGCAGAAGACAATGCTGTTGCCTTTCGCTGTTAGAGCTGATGCCCCTGGTGTCCCTGAAGATGCGCAGATGGTGCATGCACAGTGACAGCACAGAAGCAGGGGAAGCCCAAAGGGGAAGGGTTTGTGCTTTAGGTTTGTTCATGTCCAAAAAGTGCATCTCCTGTTTGGGACTTTTTTTTTCTTTATTAAAGAATGGGGTTAGGGAGATGGAACCAGCTTTAACAGAAATAGAGCTCAAAATTCCTTCTTGTTATCTTCATTTTGCTGTTGATTCACAGGTAGTGTAACCACCAGCACTTCAATAGGAATATGCCCACCTTAAATGTCTCAGCTGGAGCTGGGCCTTGGGCTCTGTCTCTCCTGAAAGCTGGGCCATGAGAGTGCTGCCTCTCTATAGAGCTGTACCAGCTGAACTGGTGCTTACTTCCACCAAACTTTGGAAGCCCACATCTTGCACAACTTACATCAACTCACGCCCATGTCCTTTAATTCTAGCTTTAGCAGATTTCTGAACTCAGATTTCTGAAATCCAGTTTAAAAATCCCACACTGCACTGTCTGGCCCAGGGCCTGTCCTGCAAAAGCCAAAAGCATTGCTGGCTCCCATTTCTAAGCACTGGTGTCACTGGTTACAGAAATACAGAGAGGACCTGAAACTTAGTGGAAACACCTTCAGCTGCATTGGAGGGACCAAGAATATGTTTTTTCATACTGAGTGCTCTCATGGGTTGGTTTTTTAAAAAATCAGATGTATCAATAATCTAACAGGTCTTTTCCAGTTGAGTTTACAGTAGCAGCCTGGCACCTTGAAAGATGATCGGCTTACAAATGTATTTTTTAATTAGCTATAGTAAGGCCTATTCTGAGGGGTCTGTTCCAAAGCACTTCCTCTAGAAATGTTCTACAGAACCCACCTCACTGACCTTTGCAGACAGCAGCAGCTCCCATTACCTCAGGACACAGAGCCTGGGCTACCTCACATCTGACACTCAGTTCAGCCAGGCACTGCCACCGCAAAATAGCCTGACCAGGGAAGAAACTGGAACATTACTGAATTGATTTATTGCCAATAAACAAATTAAGCTACTACTGCATAAAATTTGATACCTGTTTAGCTCCATCTCCTGATTACACCCCATGACATTTGTTGAGTGCAGACCTTCCATAGAAAAATTCATTCCCAAGTCTTTGCTTGTCAAAGTATTGTGAAGTTTCACCTCCCTGAAATTTGTTTCACCTGGAAGTAGGACTAATTGTTTTCAAGTACTGAAAGCAGATGGAAACTTGCACTGCAGGATCCTTTCAGCTCTGAGCACTCAGCTCTTCAGCAGCAGCTCCCAAAATTATTTAAACAGTTTGTAAGCACTTTGAAGTGTCTTTTTGCAGCTGGGGACCCTGGGACATGGAGCACCCTCACAGCTTGTGCCAGGGCAGCTGAGCAACATGGGCAGCTCTGGGATTTTTCAATGTCAAGGTGAGGGAACAGGGAAGGCCCCAGGCTGCCTCTGCTCTGGGCTGCTGGAATTCACAGGTGCCACTCAGCATGGGGGTTCTGTGGCTTTGTGTATCACATCAGGCTGAGCTAATGTCTCTCTGTCATGGTTCTCCTACAAGGAAGTTTTGGGGAGTAGTAATTTCAGATACCAAAAAAATCTGAAACATAGTAGTAAAAATCAGACAGAAACAATGAAAGAAGCTTCTATAGATGGAATTGGTATTCATAAACATTCTCAGACTGGCCTTAAGATACAAATATACAAAAGAAGAAATAAACCAGAGCAGCTCCAAGTTATCAATATGGCAACAGTACAATATTTTCTGGTAACATGAACATAATCCATGTGCTGTAGCACCAGAGCGTAGAGTTGCAGCACCTTTCTCTCATGCCTGTGTGCTGTCACTGTTTCACAGATGAGACTGAGCCATAAGACAGACATTCCTAAAAGTTGTGCAGAGCTGCTGGATGAAGTAAAGCAGGAAGGTAGCAATCAGGAGTTTAAAGTTGTAGGTTCTAAATAAGTTTTAACCTATAGAGCATGCAGCCAATAATGAACCAGGGAAGCTGATGCTGAACTTGACTGGGGGAAAAGGGATGCTCAGGAGAGAAGAGAGAACAATGTAAGAGTTATGATAATAAAGTTCTCTCCACTTCTGGTTTAAAAACTAAACCAAATCCATCAAAAACCTCTCTGAAAGACTGTCAGCATTTCTCTCCCAATGATGAGGAGGGGATGGAGATTTCCCAAAGCCTGTATTACATGCAGGACAAACGTGCTGCCTCAGGTACAGCCTGCCAGTGTTGGAAGAAGCAGCACACTGGTAACAGAGGGAATTGGCTGCAGATGATGACGAGGAGCTAATCACATCACTGGGGTTACACAAGCAGTTTTTATTGCTATTCTAAGGGTACTTCGACATATTTTCATCCCTTCATGCAGCCCAGCCAGTGTTCAGCTGTTATGCAATCATTTTCGTTAACAATTCTTTGCCAAAAGAAACATCTGACTGATCTTACAAAACTATAAAAGCATGAAAAAGAGAGAGACAGAACCTTTAAATCAGCTTCCCTATGAATAATTAACACAGACAAAGGTTATAATGGAAAGGCATTTTATTTTTACCAGGTAACACCCCTCCCTGTATAAAGGAAGTAATGGAGAAAGGAAAAAAGAACCCCAACAACCCCTCAGAACACTACTGTCACCATGAACACTTGAAAGATCAGGTCTGAGAGCTGCAGCAAGAGCCTGCTCCCATCTTCCATCACCTCCACGAGGCAGAGCTGGTTTTGCATTCCCCACAACAGGTTCACATACAAAACAAGACTGATGCTGCCAGAGGCATTTTTAGCTCCTTGGGTCTCCTATAATATATTTTAACAGACCTTGGGCATACTAATAAAGCTAAAAAAAACAGAAGAAAATAATTTTAAAATTCATGGAACGGAGTTCACTGTGCTAGTGCCGTGTTCTTTTCAGCAGTAATTCACTCTAAGATGTGCAAACAGTATTAGGGGGCTGAAAGCGTTAACTCTAATAAAAGATAACAGCCAACACACATATAAATAAGACTCATTTCCTTTTTAAAACATCATGGGAAAGTCAATTCCCATTGCATGATTGATGGAGACTTCCTAATATTAATAAATATATTACAGATATTTACAAGCTTCTGATTTCCCCCTCTGACACTGATGTGAAGTTCAGCCTGTAACTAGGACATGCTGGGCAGCACCACGGGATGCTGGGCCAATGGCTGCAGTGGATTTGGGATGCTGGTGAAGGCAGGGAGGAGATGGAAAGCTAAAAATAGCCCACTCTGCAGAGCCAGGCAACCAGCGAGCTGAGCTCCTTCAGGCTGTGACGAACCAACCCGCTGCTTCTCCTCTTGCAGAATGAAATGCCAGGATAATGCAGAGCAACTGCGCCAGGCAAGAAGGGATGGAGCGAAGGGGAGAGGCAGCCCTCCACACTGTGTCTTCTGGAGCCTGCCACAGCACGTGTTAGCAGCTTGGAGGGCTTTTTCCAGGGAAAAAGGGAGGTTATCCAGGCCCTGGCCCATGGCAGCTCTGTGTGAGTGACAGGGAGCCATCTGTACAACTAATGCATTGTTTGTCGGTGTTTGTGCCCTGCCCAGCACAGCAGAGCCTGCCCTGAGCCAAGGACTTGTGGGAATTCTGGGAAAGCCGGATCACAAGGCTCTGCCACCGCCCCAGAGCCACCCCTGGACACTGCCAGAGTGGAGCAGGGCACAGCCATGAAAGACTTGTTTCCCTTTGCATGCCCACGAGTTGCTGAGTCCTTCATCCTGCCTGCCCTACCACATCCCAAGTTCCCCTCCAAGAGGAAAACAAATGCGCTGGATGCTCTGCACCTCGGTGGCTTGAGGCACCAGGGAAGCAGGCTGTGAGCAGACGACTGCGTGGCTGTGACATAGCGGGGGCATCTCCATGAAAAAATCGTGACAACAACAACAACAGGGCAGATGCAGAGGGAGATTTCCTGCATTTGTTTCCGTCTGGTTTCCCTGGTGCACTGTGCAGCAAACACACGGCCTGGTTTTGGCACAGAAACAAGAAAAAGTGCTGATATGACTGAGATCAGGTGACCCTTCCAGCAACAGCAGAACCTTTCCCACCAGCCAGCCTGTGCTGCTCCCCTGCAATCCTACATCCCTGTCTCATGCCAGTGCTCCAGGTGCTTTAACATGCAAGACACTTTTCCAGAGGGCTGTGACACCTGACCTTAAATGGGACACCAAGGAGGGAGAGTTAGCACTGAGCCCTACTTTTCCTATTTGCATTGGTTCAAAAAATAGAAACTATTTCAATAAGCCCTACATATGTGAAAATTCTCATTTTCCAAGGGGGCTTTTAACAAAACACAAGGATGGCTGACTCCCTGGGAAGGTTTACAGAAACTTTTGCATGTGCTTTTCAAATTGGCTTAAAAGAGATGATATGGATGGCTGCCCCAAAGGCTGCCAAATGGGAGCCAAGCAGCCCTGGTGCCTCCCAGCCTGGGCACTGTGCCTTGCCAGGGCCAGAGGGGCAGTCTGTCTCTTGGGCTTTTTGGACAGAGGAAACTGTTTTGATCAATACACCCTTAAAAGTATGTTATGGAAGTCCAGTCCCAGCTACTTTGGAGCAGTTCTGAGGTATCTCTCATTAACTCGAAGTATAGAAATGTTAATAAATAGATCTGAAACTTTTCTGCTATGTCATTCTATAATACACTACTATATAGATATTAAATATGCCTCAGGGTATTAAAAAATTTATGAAAAAGTTACAGTAGTTGATTTTCAAGTATGAATAACTTGGCTATGTTAGCTTGTTTTTAAATACCAAAAAGTTCTGGCCCCAAATTATTGACTAAACTCTGGTTATGACTGAATTAAAAAAAAAAAAAAAAGTATTTTCAATATTAAAAAAAGTGCAAAAAAGCATGAGATGTCAGTTAACATTGTAAAATTGTTGGAACTTTTAAACAATTAGTCTAGCACTCCCTTGTGAGTGAATTAAAAAGGGGGAAAGAATGAAAAAAAAGATTAAAGAAAAAAAGAGATCGCTCCCAATCTGAGAGACCACTGTCCCAAATTTCAGCAGAACACGAATTTTTACAGCCAAGTTATAAACCCCAGAAAAAATGGGGTTCCTAGTGGATATGCTGTCAGACAGAACTATAGCAGTATCTGTGTGCTCCATTATAATACAAATGTACACCTTACTCACTGCTTTCTCTGAGTAACCATGAGAACAATTTTACAGGTATTCAGTTAAAATTAGAAGCCTCCCTTATTTCCCGTCCTCCCCATAAACTGTACAACTTTGTCTACTACTAAAATTCACTGCTCCTAGTAGTCATTATCATACATTCAAGATAGAAAGTAAACTACTAAAACCTGCTCAGGAGTCACTCAGAAGGACACTAAGGCTTAAGAAGTACAGCAGCTCAGGGTATGACCGGCCACACGGGCAGAGAGCTTTGTCACCTGCTTTGCCCCAGGACACTGACATTGCAGAGCCCTGTGCTGCACCCTGATCTCAGAGCAACCAAGATGGTTCAAAGGAAGATGGATTTGACGGGAGCTGCTCACGCTGGGTGCCTGGTGTGCAACACAGCCCTTGGCTGCCTCAACAAGGGCGTGAGCATTCCGAGGGCGGGAATGCAGCAGGACCTACTGTTTGCTACTGTGCTAACACTGACACCGTGCTAGATCTGGTTCTCTATCAGACACCTCTCTCAGCTCATCTCCTGAAAAATGATTTGAAGCATGGTTAAAAAAAGATTGAAAGCAAGAAAAGGCTTTCTCATTTCGACGTACAGGTACAAAAGAGGCAACAATTTCAAACTATTGATTTTCTCCCAGCGTGAGCAGCTGACTCGTCGTGTATCACCCTGCACAGATCCAAACTCAGATCCAAACACAGCGCTCTGTGTCTCCAGGAATTGCTGCAGTAGGAAATCCTGTGACGGAATGCAAACCCAAGCCAGTCAAGTGGAACGAAGCAATGGTGCCAATCCGTGCCAGTGGCCTCACGCGTGGATGGTGACCTCATGGAGACGGAAGCAAAGCAGAAGGCACACGGCTCAGATCTCATTGATCGTCCTTTCCGAGGGGCAGTACTCCGAGCTTCCTGGAGATGACATGTAGAAGGACTGCGTTTTCCTTTTTAACCTGGCTCGCTTGTTGGCCAGAGACAGGCTGCGCCGGCTCGAGTTGATGATTTCTGAGATGAACTTCTTGCAGTCCACGCAAACCTCCATTGTGCTCCAGTCCTCCATTAATTCTTTGGGAAACTCTTCGTGTGACTTATCCACAGACTTGGACTTTGAGGTCAACCTGAAAGGCAAAAGAGCAGGATCTGTCACGTTATTTGTCAGCTTGGCTGTAGGCCCCAGTAAAAATCACATCAGAAAGGTTTGGATTTAAACTTTCCTTCCTCCTGTTCCAAATAACACCAAACACTGGAGAGGACAGCTTTTGCCTGGATTAGCAAGACTGCAGGTTCACTGACTGAGGGCGTGTGTAACATTTACATCCTGAAAAAACAACCTTACTAATAATTAAAAATAGCTGGTGTCTTTGGCTAATCTACACAGCATCATAGCAATGGTGATCTATGCAGAGGGTTTATACAGCAGATTCCCTCAAAAAGGAGCATTTCTTTTCTGTTTAATTTCTTGGATTAGCTTTGACAACCATCTGTGTGTAACAGATAAAAAACAGCTAACTTGGTAATATTAAAGTGAAAAAATTATGAAAATTGGAGTAAGAAAAAATTAGGTGAAAAGAAGATAAATCTGTGCACTAGACATCATTGAATTCTCATTCAGTGGGTAATTTCACCCTGCAAGATTTATCTCCGGAGAGTCCATTCACACCAGAAAAAGATACATTAAGGATATTTTATCAGAAGTCCTACAGAAATACAGTTGTCCCAAATTCTCATTATTTTTCAGCTGTAATGTGAAAAAGGTTTAAGACACTGTTAGATTGCTATTTCTGTAAATCAAAGCAATGACTAGAAGAGACCTGGCTTTTCAGGCTGCAGAAAAGTTACTACAGGCATTAGAAACAAGGCCAACTACAAACCAGGTGAGCAGCACCTTCATGATTGATAACCCAGCATGAAACATTTGGGGAGCATTTGCCCAACACAAGTGAGGCCAGGTTGTCTCTCACCTGCTCCGCAGAGAATGGTGGTGACTGGTAGAGGGTTTCTCTGGCCTCATGAAGCTTTCTCCCCTTTGCAAGGTTGAGGGTCCCAGGGAGAAGATGGGGAGGGTGGAGTATGGCTTCGATGGCAGCCGCATCTGTTGGGAACAGCACAAGGCACGTGCAGCATCATTACGAAGATCACAGCTTTTTAGAAAGGCTCGAAACATAAGTTTCCTTACTTACTTTTTTGCAACACTGCGAGCATACAGGCCTGTGTATAAAAGCAAGAGCATGAATCAATCCATTGGAAAAAATTATGTTTGAATCAAGAATAAGGAATTTCAGGAGTTAGAAACCCACCCCCCTCCATCCTCTCTTTACACAAACATTTTTATTGTTAAAGCTTCTTCAATATAGTAACTTCAATCACAATATGAAGCCAGAAGCAAGGAGAAATGCTAAACAAGAACTACACCTAAATTTAAAAATAGGGGGAAAAAAAGAAAAATAAGCTGGTTTTCCTCTAAAGAAACCTCTTCTGGTAAGTGAGACCAAAACTCAGTGAATTACATAGATCTTCTGACTTAAAATGTTAATATTGTTAACTTAAAATTTATCATTTTGCACCTTCAAATATTCCTTCTTGCATTTCCCTTGCCCCAATACTCAAAAAACAGCCCAAAAAGTAAATTGCTTTGAAATGTTTTCCCCAAACACAGAGGTTGTAGAACTGTTGAGTGGGGAGTCTGAGTAAATTTCATCTTGATTTCTCATAAGCATAAAAAAGAAATGTTTCTCTCACTTTTAGTCAAGAGTTTCAGTCCAAGGAAGCAATTCAGTCACTTACAAATGAAATGTTTCTGCATAGTTTTTTGTAACACAGACTGTTACAGAAATAAACCCAACCAACAGGATGCAGCAGAAATTTTTGAGAGTTTCTAATGTATAAATCAATCATTTTCCCTATGAAATTGTACTCATTTATTAATAGACATAAATTATTTACCTCTTGCAGAACTGACAAGTGTAAGACCAGGTAAAGAAAGAAAACCTTCTTGTTCGACAGCAAAAGCAGAGCTAGAGGAAGAAAAACAGAGGAATCCACAGTGTTAAGCAAGGTCCCACACAGTGATGACTTCATTGACCAGTTGCTGTTGGCAAGGTCACAGTGGCAGTGCTACATCCTGTTCTGGGGTCTGGACTTCTAAGATGATATTGAGAACAAGGTCCAGAATTGTATCTTCATATATTTAGAATTAAGCCTTTAATAGTTTTGCCTAAATTAAATACTTGCCCATTAACTAGATAACTTTGGTTAGAAATAAAAGCAAACAATTTTAATAGCAGAGTAAATTAATTAAAGCCTTAACCTACTTTGAGATTTGATGAAAGCTCATTACTAAGCTTTATATATCATAACAGCAGGCAACAGCTGAATCTAATGAATGACATTATACAATTCTTGTTCCTCTGTCTTCAATGTATTAAACCTTTAAAATAAATCTGCATACTAGACACAGGTAAGCCTGTAGATAAAATACACAGTGATGTTAAAATAGGACTTCCCGAAGGGGTCCAAGAACCACAAATCAAAAGTAGGAGAAAAGGATGCTGCTGCTTCTGGGAAGTACCAATCTCCAATCTGCAGTTTAAAGAAAAATGCATTAGTTAAAGGGTCTCTAATATTAAACCTCCTTCTGGGGTCACATGTTGCATCACTTCTCTGAATGCTTTAATTCCCTCTGTGCTTGATAGTAAGGATTCATATATGAAGAACTTGTAGTTTTCCATTGCTACCTGTAATTCTATTTTCTGGAACAGAAAAGGTAACCAAATCTGCAGAAGGCATGGGGACAGAAATCACCTCAGTCAATGAAGTTCAAACCAGACAGATACATACAGATACACTCTGATAATTGCAAAGACTACAGCATTTTTATATGGTGTTTCCATGAAAAGTTTTGGTGTTTCTGGACATCATTCGAGGAAGTTGACCCATGTGTCACACATTTAGGGGGATGTTTGGTGGATAACTCTTCTTTCTCTCCAACAGAGTAAGAAACACATGTGTAAATGGGAGGCTTGTGCCACTGGCCTCCCTCAGTACCCTTCAGAGCCCCCCCAGACTCAGCCCTACCTTTCCTTTCTTGAGAGCAGTGTAGACATCTTTATATTGCTGGTACTTCTCCAGCTCCGCCTTCACAAGCACCTGACGGATGTGCATGACCTCCTCCACTGTCAGAGCCAGACATTCCACGGGGTAACAGAACTCCTCCTAGAAGCCAAAAACCCCAAATTAGTTCAAAAACAAACAGCTTCTTCCAGAGTTCAACCTTGACAACCAGCCACCTGGTTAGTAACTCCAGAAACAGGGAGTTTCTCCCATCAAACTGGAATAGCACTGGCTCATTCACGGGCATCACTTGAGTGCCAAACCATTGGAAGCTGCATAAGTGTGATGAAAATGGTCTTATGTTCAGCCTTCACAACAATGATAATCTTTCCTCCTCAAATCACTTGACCCTTCTCTCCAGTTTTCTTTTATTACAAACATTTGTTTCAAGCCAATCAACATTCAGATTTATAATTTGAAAGGGAAAAATGGTAGATGGCATTATTTTATGTATACTGTTTGAGGTATACATCAAATAATTTTTCTGACTTCGTGATGCCCAGAATGGCCAAGGAAAGTTGTTAGTAGCCCATTCTAGCAGAAATTTTTATTCAGTGGTACCACATCTTGGTGCTCACATGATCAGAATCACACCAAGACTTCAAAAAGTTACATCAGTTCAGGCAGAAAAGTTCTCCTTTCTGCTCCAGAAAGTAAGAGCAGCAATTTAAGCTTTACAGAATAATGTTCCAGTATCAAGCAGGTGAACTGGTTACCGAGTGTTGCATTATAAATGGTAGAGACTTAAACAGAGAATTAACAGCACAGCTTTCCACTTACAAAATTTTGCATCTCTTCTGTGCTGCAGCATTTATGAGAATATTGAGTGCAGAACTCCTGAATTCGGTACCAGGGAATAAAAAGCACCAACCCAATTTGTAATCCAGCCCAGTAGTTGATTATACATTTCCAAAAGAAAGACAGAAACCTCTGTGGGAACTCCCATTGCTTAATGCTTAGTGAACCTTTTCAGTCAGCCCAGAGGGGCTACTGTGCAGTAATGACAATGACAGGCAATGCTCTCTGAATAAACGAAGGAAATTTCTCCTGCATACACAAAGACGTGGCTGACAGTTTGGAGATCTCGTTTACAAATTGAAGTGATGAATCGGATTAGTACGGAAATGCTCCATTTCCATGTACTCAGAGGTCTGTTCTGTCTTTCCATCAGATTAAAAAGAAAATCTTTCTACGTTGCAGACCTGGCAAACATTAGCATTTAGGAACCACCACATTTTTAAAAACTGTTGTCTTACCTATCTAGAAAGGGAACACAAAGAAACTTCATTCTGTTTAGGGTACCCCACAAAAGACTAGAATTGAGTTAACTTTGTTAGATTTGCCAGCTAAACCTTTGGGATATGGAACATTGGTTTTCTGGAAAAAACAAACTACATCAAAAGCAGCAGCAATTTGCTCTGAGGTGTAAAACTTCGCAGCCAAAACAAAGTATCTTCTGTTCCTTATGAGCAACTTTACAGCTAACCAGCAGCTCTCAGCATTTCGTTCTGAGTTCTTCCCATAGCAACTGCCTTGCTATGGGGAAGGCACGGCTGAAGGCTGGGGCGGCACGGCAGAGGAAGTGGGTGGGAAAGCGGGATGCACACAATGCCAGCAAAACCCCCCGAGTCTGTCTGCATCGTGGGAGACTGAGGGAAACTATCCGAGGTGAATGGGGCTGACTGAATGCTTGCAATCAACCAGAGCTTTAAGTCCTTTAGAAATACATTTCTTACTTGAAGCTCTTCCTTCCCCCTCATGAACGCCCATTCCTCTAATTTACAGAACGATGACGTCGGGGAATATTGCTCCTTTGAAGAAATTCTGCGGATCTGCTATAGGTGTAGAGCACGTACTAGGGGAATAGTGTGGGCCTGTTGTTGTACCAATCGAAAATGAATACCATTAAAATAGAAATAGCCTGCAGGCAGCAGGGGAAACATAGAAAATATTCACATGTTTAAATGCTAATGTTTTAATTCCAGTGGTTACACAAGGACAACAAAATGTTAATGCAACATTAAATGAAAGATAAATAATCCGAATTCAGAAAACTGCTTGGGTTTTTTTTCCCTTTTCAGACTATAAATAAGTACACAAGAAAACCTTTTGTTTCTACACTACCTCTAAGGCATTGAAATTAATTAAATTTTGCTAAGCACTGGCTAAACTTCATTGAACAATGATGTTTTGAAGTTACTGCTCAAACTTCCAACAATAGCTGCACCCAAATTCAGCAGCTCCAAGTGAAAATACTCTTTGCAATACTCACATATGACAGAACATGGTAAAGACAAAATGTGGTTCGAATGGTTTTGATTTTCCAGAATTATACTCAATACTCTTTTTAATATTAATCGCAAGACAGTATGCTTATTTTTAAAGGGGAAAAAATGTTATTGAAAATACTATTTTGAACTTAAAGTTTCCATGATCCTCTTGGGGACTGCCTTAACACTGACTATGCAATAATCTTATAAACACTATACCTTAAAGTGTGTAGGTAAGATTTTTTTATGCAGGAAAAGCAGGTAGTAAGAATTGCATATCCATAATGTGCTTTGTAGGTCATTCGCAGTGTACACACACCTAATAGGTTCTTATGACTAACATATTTTTACTCTAATGTATTCCTTCTTCTCATTAAAGGATGTCACTAGACATTCAAATGAGTTGCATTAGTAAACTGTAAAATGAATGAGCACCAGAGTGGCCTCTAAATTCTGCAATTCACAATTAGTCAGGCACTCTAAACTCTTGCTCCTTTTGCAGACTTGACGTTTCTAAAAGGTCAGCTGGGTATCTCAGCTATAAACTCTCCTACAAGAGGTTTCACCCTTGCACTTATTGGTTGGGACAACAAAAAAAAGGAAAAATTAAATAATTCGTGTTCAGTTAACATAAGGGTAAATGAATTGCTTTTTCTTTTCAGTGGATTTACCTTCCCTGATAGATGGATATGAGCTATTCTGCAAGTTCTGATACACGAGTGTGCTGAGGACCAAAACAATAAGTAGGTTTTCAAGTTAAGCAGATTGCAAATGCCCTCCCATTCTACATAGTGTACCTTGGGAGAAACATAAAACCTTATTCTTTTTAACATAGTCCGAGGATCACAATAGTTTTGATGGATTTTTGCTGAAGGATCTTCACGTGCTGTAATATTTAAGGTCTGTCCCATTGATAATCTGGTGATGTTGCATTTTTAGTTTGCTGTCCTTTCAGAACTGATTTCTTTTCCCCGTGAGGTGATTGAAGACACACAAATATCCTACACACATTGAAATCAAAGTCAATCAGGTGCAATGTCCCAGCCTAAGCTGTAATTCTTGCCACAGCTGAGGAAGTGCTCCCCGAGGAGGGAACATGCTGGTGAAGGTGATTTCCAAAGCCAGCAAAAAAGAGGCAAACCTTTGCGGGTTTCCACCTGCTGGCAAAAGCTCTCTCACAGAGATAGTACATAGCCCCTGCCACCCCACACATGGCTGCTTCAACGGGATGAGAGCTGAGCAGAGAAGCTGTTTGCATAGTTGTAAAAAGTGGTCTGAAAGTCATCCTTGGAAATAAACTGGTTATCCTAGGAACCTGAACAATAGATAGGAAGCAGAGAAGCGAATGCTGTGTATAAATGAAACCATTAGCTTTGGTCCCCTGGGTCATGAAAAAAATAATTATAATAAAAATAAGAATTAAAAAAGCAAACAGACTGCAAAGGCACCCACATGTAAATCTCAGGACACTGAATTATCTCACTGATTAGGCACCAAATCAGTCACTACAGCAACCACCAGGGTTGACCCCTCCAAAAATCACAGAGCCACTGTGCTTTTCCATGTAGCACTGGCAGGGTGACATGTCAAAAGGACTGTGTTTGGCACTCTTCCAAGTTTGTTTCCCCTCCCCACCTACTTGGGCCTAACTACCTCTGTCTGATGAGATGCCATTTCACCAAACCATCGTTAGTATGCAAGACAGAGCAGTTTCTTGCTAATCCTGCTAAGAGACTGTAGCAAACCCCTGCCTGGTTTCACTGGCATTGACAGCTATTTGCTGACAAGGCCTCTTTCACCTTGGAGAGAAACCAGGGTCACAGGAGCTGGAGATAAGAAATGAAACTCCATCAATCTTGGAGGAAGTGCTGAAGAAGTGTGAGGTTAAATAAAAAATAAATAATACTCTGCACTTATTGAGAAGCATTCACTCTGGGATTGGCAATTTCACAGGTGCAACATCTGGCACAGCCACTGGAAGAGGTTGGCATCCCTGCGAGAAGGAGAGAATTGCAGAAAGCCAAAGTGTGGAACTGGGCCAGTGCCAGCATACCAGCACACATCTCCCAAAATGAAAAACAAGAGGGAGATGTCTGTTACACCCTAGAGGGCACTATTGCCAAGTTAAAGAATTAGCTCTCAAGGCATCAAATAAAATAGGTTCTTATTAACAGAACATCATTTCACTACCGGTTTCCTTCTTTTTCACTTCAAAGTCAAAACCAAGCTAGGTACAGTTCTCTAGGGATTAAAAAAAAAAAAAAAAGAAAAAAAAAAATCCCCCTAAGCACAAAAGAAACTAGTAGAACCCTTCCCATCTGTTCCCAAATTAGCCTGACTTATCTAATGGCTTTTTCTCCCTTTTCTTTTAGTATTTTTCAGGGGGAATGGAATAATTGAATTAGTTTTTATGCAATGGTTTTATTTTTAATGTATTTTTCTAGGCATATGTCAATGAACAGATTGACAGAGGGAGACTATGAACGTGGTCAAGAAGATCCTGGTAAGAACTTGGTTGACCTGTTTAAAATAGCAGACTCATATAAGATTTTAAATTGCATGATCCTCTGAAATACACGAGATTTATATTACAATGCAGCACACTCAGATACACTAAAAGTGTAATGGAGCAAATGTCTCAGTATAACACAGGATGCTTTCTCCCATCCTCCCTTTGAACTATTTGTCTGTGAATGACACTGGGCTTACCAGAAAATAAAGTCTGGGTTTCTACATGCAGTGAATGCAGCAGGAGGTGACAGAGCTACCCATTTCATGTGACAGTGACTTCACACATGTGCTGAAGGAGCCCTTCAGCATGGCTCTGCTGCAATACATCCTGCTCCAAGTTCACTTTGGCAGGAGATGTCCACATGGGCCATGCATTTATCAACATGTTACTGCCTGACCTGCACCTGGAATAAGAAACTACATTCTACTTGGAAGGATGTAATAAAATCCAGCAGATCGCTGAAAAGGTAAAGCCCATTGTGGGAATATTTGGAGGTATTTTTCCTATACCTGTTCAGCTTCCTCATCTAATAGGTTTGGATCCCAGCTGTCATTTCTTGGGCTGACCAAAACGCTCTTCAAAGCCCTTTAATACCACTGCTCTACAGATAGGGCAAGTGAATATTCCCTTCCTTTCAAAACTCGGACGTGTTTATTGATTTCTCTATTCACCAGCACCTCATGGGGCACACTCTGAAACCCTGCTGGTAGGAAAAGAGACAAGGAACATGTCCTGCATGAAGTGACAAAGCACTAATCAGTATGTCAGCATAAACGAACCAGGATTTCATACCCTTTGCTGTTTGTACTCTGCTGGAAAACAGTTCTCAATTAAAGCTAATTGATCAGATGCACTGTACTTTCTTTTCAAGAAGTAATACAGGTTTTTGCCTCAGTAACTTCAACAAAGCAACACAGACAAACCTTGATTTGGATCACTGAAAGAGCTTTCATATGTATAAACATTACCGAGCAAGCTTTTAAGGTGGGAAGAAAAGAAGTAATTCCATTCATCCAGCCATTTACTGCAATAGTTCCAACAACTAAAAAAATTCCCCCAAATACCAAAATAGATCCACTGCTTTGGAATTGTCTCTATTCAAGTGGAATATCAGTAAGGTGAAGTTCATCTGTTTTGGTAACATTCTGAAAAAAAATCAAGACACATGGTTTACCCAGAGTCCTAATCACAGTGCAAATGTTTTCTGAGGCACCTGTACCTGGGATTTTGGATAAATATGTTAGAGAGACAAAGTTCAAATCTTGATTTCAAAACACCTTTAGTAGCCAAGAGCTGTTTCTGAATGGAGGAGTTTTCTTTGGGTCATGTTCTAATCACACTGAAGCCAAGTTTTAATTTTCATTATACTCTTAGCATTCCTCTTTTTCTCTCTCCTACCACCCACTCCACTTACAAGTGACCTGGAGCTCTGTTTTGAAGGGGGTAGGAACTGTCTCACATTGGTTGGTGTTTCCTTTTCAATGGAGTGTCTCCTCTGAGGCGGCTGCCGTCTCTCGGGCTGCGGCGTGGACGATATGGGCAAGAACTTTGGAGGCGCTAAGGATTCAAGCAGTACAAGAATGTTAGTTCTTCTGTAAGAGACTGTTGGACAGCATTGCTCAGTACTTAATCCAGCCACTGATTTGCTAGAATTCCTACTGCTGGTGGCTAAAGTTACATATCCATACTGAGGTGTTTCAGGTTATTATTCTACTTATTTCACCATCATGCACAGAAAACACATGCATAGATTACACAGCTCATTACAAAACCTTCCCAATGAAACTGAAGCACTTTGAAACAAACGAAAAATATTGTTACACAGTAAAACCTGCAATAACTGTGTCTGAAGGAAAAAGCCAAAACCAGATCTTGCCCTCTTCCCAGTAAGTATTTATGAGAAATACCGGTGATAGCGAAGTGTCTTTCAAACACTGCCGCAGTGGCAGAGATGGAGGAAACATTTGAACTGGTCTTAGGTTAGAACATGCTTCCGTAGCAACAAATTATTTTATGAGTTGAGCACAGCTAAGCTATCCCCTCCATTCACTTGTGACTTCCTCTACAGTCTTACATTAACTTCAAGGATGAAATCTTCTGTTTCACAGAGATATCTACCCAGAGTGAAGGCTAATGCCTTCCAATTGTTTATGACATCTGACCCATTTAGCAGGGTTCAGCTTTAGTTTGATTAACAACACTCAGCTTCAGCTTTCCATATAAGTTTAAGACAACGTTCATAGCACAGAAGTCAACAGAGGTGAATAAAAGCAGCCACTGAATTCTCTCATAACTCACTCTTTCTGCTGCTGGTGCCTTCTTGAGAGGGGTCTTCCACTTGTGAGGGGGAGATGCTGCTGCTACTTCCTGATTTGTGCATTGATTCCTCCTGTGTGGCAAGAGGGAAAGAAACAGATTTCCTCAAGGACTGTTTTTAATTCTCCGACTGCTTTTTAGCACACAGAAACCACAAAGATATTTTGGACCATTCAGTCTCTCAAAGTCCTAGAAGAAGTCCTGAGAAGAACACTGACTCTGCACAGTACTGAGCAAACAGGATTTTCAGTGCTCAGATTTTTTAGAACGTGAAATAAATGGTACATGACTTGAATTCAGTGTATTTAACTACTGCATGAAAGAACAAGATCAGGAGAGAGGTGAATGAATCCACTGTAAACTGTTAATTTTCCTTGTTGTATTCAAAGACTTCTAGGGATTTGCAGCTACAGCAGCTACGTTAACTCAGCTTTATATCTCACACTAACAAGGTATTAGCACTTAGATTTCTCTGGTCGCCAAAGGAATGGCAGCCACTCACACAAGTGACTCAGGTGAACAGAAATTAAACTGAATTTGACTGGACTGTTCCCTAATTCCCAATCCTGGTGTGTTTTTCCTTTTTTCTGTATTTAAAAGAAATCTTATTCACTGTATCAGCATGCCTCTTCTCAACCGCCAAGGGCAACTCCTGCAAGATGAAGGAAAGCGAAATGGGCTTTGACTAAACACCTCTCAGTTATCTAAAGCTTTATGCCACCCAAATTATTACATCCTTTGCTGTCACCTAAAGCCTGTCTTCAACCACTCCATACTAGCAAAGAAACGGATCATCACAGAAGCCTCCCAAATGAGGAGTGCTGAAGGACTGAGCTTGGATGCTCTTTACCTCTAATGTGAATGCTTTCAACCAAAAAGAATTAACATCATTTAGGCTGTCAAGATTTACAGATCAAACAAGTGACCTGCTCTAAAATCCAGCAGGTGGCTGAGCTTCTCTCTCACAGATTTCCTTAGCTGAAAATCTCCACTGGCTGAAAGATTGCCTTCTTTGGTAACAGCAAGTCCGAATGAAAAGCTGGCAGAATCACCTCACTGAGCACCACGCATCACAGGACACAGGCCTCTACAAATTCCCATCAGGTGATCTGTCCTTTAGGCTTAGCCCAAGGGTAGGTGTTGTATGTGAGGACACTGTTCCCACCTATTTGCCACAACACAGTACTCTGCAAGGGGTCTCAAACCAGCTCACATCCCAAAACAGTATATTCACTTTAACATTTCAATTGTCACCCCATAAAACACCTGTGATGGGAAGCTTGTAAATAAGCTTGAGTAGCACATTGAGCTACATCAGCTGTTTTACTTGCAGAAACCAGTACAGTTCAGCTACAGAGCTGACCCAAACAGCTCTGCATATTGCTGCATGGTTGCCTTAAAAGACCAGTGGAGAACTTGCATGACAATAGGTTGCACTGTTCTCTACAAGGTGTGCAACAGTGTTCACAAGTCTAGAGTAAAACATTTAAATGTTGAGAAGGAGAATAGCCCTGTACAATGGGAGCTATTCAACTTTCTACTTTGTAGATGTCAGATTGTTCTGAATGGAAGACAAGTTTACCATTGCTGGAGAAGCTAATGAGCTAAGCTCCTCTGTTCTAAAGAATGTACTGTTGGAGCCAGTGGCTAAGCATAAAAAATAACAAGTATAAACCAACACAGGGAAAATGGAAGCCAGGAGGAAGTTAAATTGGACATAAAATCCTACCTAGACAACAGGTATTCTGGGTTTGTCATTTCAAATTACTTCTTCTGTGCACAAACACGTGCACTGACAATGCTATTGCTGGCCTACAATTTCTCAAACATAGAGGGCTTTTTTTTTGAGAATGAAATCTTGTGTAGGAAGTCCTGATGAACTACTGCATGAATTCCTCCATATCTATACAGCAACTGTTGACTATTATTGTAAACTATCTGACATTTTATGTTTGAGGTTGGATCAACCCAACATCCAGGACTCTGCAATTCTCCAGAGTGCCAAAAAATTAGAAATTTAGTTACTGAGAAAGCTGCAGCTTTAAAGGCTTTACTTTAAATATTCTGAACATATTAGAGACATGATTTTTGGTCAGATAGCTGTAGCTTCATTAGGAAGAGACAATTTTTTAATCTGTATCAGAAGTGACTATTAGATTGCAACTTCTCTTAGCCACACAAAGTAAAATGGCACCTCCTGTTCCATGCCCCTTGATATCTGTGATTTTGGTGGTGATCCAGGAAAAGCAAGGACAGAAAGAAGGAATAATTTGTACATTATTCATCCTTGATAGAAAATGGGCATAGGGCTGTATCAGACCTTGCCTTTCACCTCTGCCTGGCTACATTGAGTATTGGGACATTGCAACACCAATGAAAGAACAAAGGGGACTCCGGGAGAGAAAATACATCTGCATCACAGCTCATTTGGAGGTCCACAACTCAGCAGTGCAGATATTTCCAGCCTGTAATTTAGGGCACAACACAGTCATAATTTCATTCCCAGTGAGTAACTCCAAATAGGTTAAGCCCAATTCAAATTGCAGACAAAGAGGTGGCCGAGTCATTTACAAGCCATCAGAACAAGAAGACACTCTTTTGTGTGTTACATACAAAGTAAAAGTCAGGAAAGAAATAAAACATTTCGACAGAGCAATCTTCATTCTCTTCAAATGTTCTATGTCCTTCAGCACATTCAGAACATTCAACTGTTCTTCAGTTGAAAAACTTCACCCCAACTCTCTTCAGTTTATTTTCACTGCTTTAGCACCCTTCCTGAGCCCCAACTAGTATTCTGCTGAGCATCTTTATCATCTCAGTTGCTTCACCAGCTATTTCTATTGACTCAAACTAGCACAGCATCTGTTCTCTGTGGCAGGTCGATGTGGTTGATTTATTTTCAATTTATCTTTTGCTGTGTGTTCCAGAGCTTGTTCCATACCACTTTGCTTGCCTACACAGTATTCCCTAATCAATAGTCACGTTCAGATATTTTATTTTTCCCTTTCCTTGTCCCTACAAGAATCATTTCACATTTCCCTCTACATAATTTTCTTTTACTAACTTCTGCTCATTTTCCTGTGTGAAATAGCATGATGCTTCAGGATACACAGAGGTACAAGGCTGAAAGATCCAACTCTCACTGACAGATCTTAGTATTCCTGCATCCTACCCAGCTTCATTCATATTAACAAACCACATATAGCCTCTATTGTAATTTTAAAGACTGATGAGTGATCTCAGAATGCAAATCTCTTCTGCTTTCAGAACAGATGCATCAAATTATGCACCCACACAAGTCACCCACAGGATAACCCCAAAGAGGGCCAACCTTTCATAGATCACAAAGTATGCAGAGAGATAAATTTCTCCCCACATATATTTCTTCCCAGCCTCCTATCTTTCAGCATAGATGCCTTTGTAACCACCCTGTCAGGAAACCCCTCCTTTCCCATTTACAAGAGAGAAAAAGAGTCAGGGAAGACTGCTTTCCCCAGGCTAAAATTATCCTCTGTGAATAAAGCCTGCCTGCATGTGCTTTCCAGACAGCTTAACTTTCAGAAAGGTCCAAACTCAATTAATAACACTACTGGTCCAGAAGACAAAGCTCATTCTTGAGGATGTAATGTTGGTACTTCCTGATGATCATATATAATGCAGCTTCGAAGCTATAAAGCTTTTTAAGGTTTTCTCCTTCTAATGCTTTTAAAAATCTTTAACTCTTCATTTAGAGTGGATGAATTCAAAATTATTTCTCCATCTGAGTGGTATTTGCTTGTCCCTATCTGTGAAACATTTTTGGGGTGTTCGTTCCCAATCTTATGTAGCAGACTAATGCACTGACATCTGCACCAAACTGCAATCCTTCTGGCACAGCTGCTGCTGTTTATTTAACAGCTGTTATGGTAAAGCTAGCCCCACATCTGAGTCCTTTAGTGACAGCTACTGCATGAGTGCCAGAAGGGTGCCATGTACTTTCCTAAATTCCCAAAAGCATAATTGCTACAAACACACTGTGGTCACATACTGGGCATTTAGGAAAGTAAGTAAATATAGGTTTAAGGCCAAAATTACCATTTAATCTTTCAAAAGAGTATTCTCCTTTTTGGATCTGATCTAGTATTTTTTGAAGTTCTGTGGGCTGACAAAGCAGCCATAGAAAATTCAGATTATAATTTGCACAGTCACTTCTCATCTGATCAGTTCAGCAAACTAAGAAGTAAGACTCAGTTCTGACAAATTGAGAAGCAAGTTGTGTCCTGATTTTTTACCTCTGAATCTGAGCTGTCAAGTTCAGCCAACGTGGGAGCCTTAAGGAGTCTCTTGCGTTGCACTGTCACTTGTGTGGCCCCGTTCTGCTTTCCTTGTGGTGCTGGGCCACCGTTCACTACAGAGGCATCCACCACTTTTCTTCCAGCCTCTGGCGTCGGTACATCTACCAAAAGAAACACAACAATTGGTGTTTGCACCTGAAATGTATTTTGCCTTCTGAAATCTTACTGTTAAAGCAATATGCACAAAAGGAAAAAAATTATCGTGATAGTTGTATCTGTGCAATTATTTTACTTATAGTGATTCACTGCTCAGACAATTGCAGGCAATGGCTTGCAGTACAGAAGCAGTATGAAAGAATGAAAGCAGTGCAAAAAGCAGCATTGCATAATGCTAAAACCCAACCTCAGACCAACACCAGTCAGCTTTAAAAAAATTGCCTGTGTTAAACCCGAAAATATTCTTCCTTCAACATATAGTCTATAATTAACTATGTAACGAGGACCAGAAGAATGCACAACCATATCTGGGCAAGTGGGTTTCCAGGGAATCTGAAGACAACACCATATAGAAATTAGGAGGTTTAGCATGGAATAAACCCAGTTTTTCCTGTGAGGACAGGATTGCACCTTATTCTGAAAGATACAGAGAAGGAATGAAAATTAGGTAAATAATGAGTGTTCTTCAAACACATGCACAACTCTAAGGCTTGCATGGCTATTTGTATTAAAAACATGCCTGTGAGGTCAGACCTTCATGAAGAAGCAGAAACATGAGGCTCCAGCTCTATTTTCATCTACATGACTTTTACAAGGATGTAACTCCACTGAGTAAATTACTCAGGATTTCTGCCAACGTGCAATGAAGATGCATCTTGGATAATGTAAGCTTTGGGTCTGCTGTGCTTAGCCTAGCTTAGCTTTAGACATTAAGATAATGACCTAGCCTTTGATATTTTAGGAGAGTTTACAATTTGGTCTGATAAATCAGTTTTATCCCTGTAAAAGTACAAAGTACAGTTTTCCAATCTGAAGAAAATTATGTTGGAGGGACAAGGAAGAGAAGCTTTTAATCTCCCATTTGCATGTATGTCAAAGCAGCTTTTCTACAAATGTGTTTTTCTACTCACATAATTATAGGACTCCTTCCCTAGCCTTGTAATAACAAGGTACCTCCAGGTATTACAAGGCTAGGGTAATGATGAGTAATTATTCCCATTTTTATGCATGGTGAAAAGAGGCACAGAAGGTCAAGTGACTTGTACCTTAGGTTACTGGGAGGACTATGACAGGGAAATGATATCACCCAGATATTCACAGTGCCAACAATGCAAGTACTCACACATCATTTGGAGTTATTTACACAATTGCTCTGGTATAAACACACAGTCACTCTTGCTACAACACCATTTGCATGGATAAAGCTATCCTTGCACCAGGTAAATCAAAGCTACACACTACACAAAGCACAGCTACAGTAGTAGGTCTGTTTAACAACATTCTCACCATAGGACCTATAAAAATAAACTAAGAAGAGGAATAAGTTAAATCAATATGTATTTTAAATAATTATCCAGGCTATTGTTAAATGCTAGAAACTGACATAAAAAGGATCAGCACTGCCCTCTAAAAAGGAGAGGGGGTGCATTATAGTTGCTCTATAAATCATATCTTCAACAGGGAGTATAAGAAAAGGCAATTATTTGGGCTATTAAAGTCATGGTGACATTCCAGGCCCATGAATCTGTGTACTACAGTGTTATTACTGCCTTCAGGTCCTGCCTACAAAGAGCTGCAATCAAAGACTTCGACTCTCTAAGCCTTAGTTCCTATCTTCAAAGGCTTTGCTAATGGGTGTCCTGATTACCACAATGGCTTATAGGTCATGGGGCTTTTCCTCCTAGATTTCTGGGACTACAGCATGGGCGTCCCTCACATCAAATGCATTCCTGCTCTAACAGCAGCTCAACTCAATTCCAGAACGGGACAGCAGGAAATGCAAACCCAAACTGCCTCCCCTCCCTGCTACCAATGACACTTCTTGAGGCCTCATAAACAGCTGGCATGTAGGTGACTGAAGAAGTTCTGAGTTTCCCAAATGAGCAAGAAAAGCCTTTAATTTGTCTTTGGATGGCACAGGGCAGTTCCTGAACAGACCTTGCAAGGAAGAATGTCCCAGCATCACCCACACAATAGCCAAGGGGGTGCCCCTTCTCCCCTAAACCTCTTGTGTGGGGACTCCCCTGCTTGATGGTAGGGAGGGTGAGGAATGGCCTGTTAGCACTGCTGGACTCACTGGGAGAATAAATGATGGGAATGTCAACAGCACTGCTGTCCTGCAAAAAAGTAACACACATAATAGGTCTGAGGAAAGGAAAAGGGGGGACACCACCAGACATCCCCTATGGCATGTGATAGAACATGTTTTCACATAAAAAACGTTTTCTGATGGTTTTGGTTTGTTTGCTCGATTGCATTTTCTTTTAGCCTCAGAAATGGAAATCTCTGCTCCATTTTGAAAGTAATTTATGTAGCCAGTCATGATCTAGGAAGCCTAAACTAGCTGTTATTTAAAGTCAGGCATATATGAGTTGTACATACATATTGCTGAATCAACATATCATATGTCATATGTTGATTCAAGTCTTCTTGAAATACCAAAGAAACTTTAGGTGAATCAAGAAGACAATCCAACATAGTACTTGTTTTCAGTGTTTCTTCAGTAGGAAATGTCATTTATCACTATTCTTTCCTCTAGAGGAAAAAAAACAGGGAGTTTTTACAACTTGCAAGCACTAAAGAATAATAATAAAAAAAGAATAAAATTAGAAAACCATCTATATAAACCATCTATAAAATGCATTTGTTCAATCAAGTTCAATTTATCATTCTTGCACTTACAGTACTGGATTCATATGAATAAATGGATTATCATAATTTAAGGAAAAAGATCATGACATTTGAGTTTCAACAAACAGAGTTCAAGAAAAAAAAGCCTTGTTCCAAAATTAAAACCAGAATCTGTTAGCAGACATAGACCAAAAAATGATTCATTTCTTTAAGCTGTTTTAGTGATCTGTTTGGACAACAGAAACATTAGCAGATGACAAATGACTGTACATTGTCATAAACAATATAAAATTATTTAGGATAAACAAGTCAGAAGCAACAAATAGACAAAATCTTATAAATATGAACATGACAGAAGAAATCAATGAACAATTCTTTGAAACAAAAACTAGATTTATTTTTTTAAAAAATGGATAGTAGTTTACAATCTCTAGTGTTCATAGAATACTTAAATGTTTTGAAGATGATTTCAATGATATTAAAAAAGGCTTGTGTGAGTAATAGCCTGGGGTTAAGAATTTATTAGAGAGTCAGACACACTGGGGAGTGTCATTTCTCTGTGTTTTCAGGTAGCAAATACAGTGAGCAGTGCCTGAAAATTGGATGAATGTGTTTGGTTTCTTCTGATATTTTCTCCAAGCTGTCATTACAACAGGCAAATGAAGGAAGGCAAGGTCTTGATTTGATTACTTGATCGTTGTGTTGGGCTTCCCTGAGCAGTCTTGGGAAGGGGAGACAAAAAACCCCACTGTAGGGTAATATGAAATGTGCCTTTATTTACATATAAGATTATGTCTCTTGTGAAGCAAGGAATTAAGCAGACCACAAATTACATGCAAACCTCAGCAGTCATGTAACCAACCATATGCTGTCTGCTTCATAACCAGCTCTCCTTGGCCAAGAGTGATAACAGAAACCTGAATTTTCTTCTATATAGGAAATGTACTCCTTGGGATTAGAATTTTTTACACTGAGTTTAAAAGAAGGATAAAATGGATTTGCAGAATTATTATTTGTTTGCTCTTTGCTGGCTATTATGTCAATAATATGTTGGGAAATATTACATAATGAATAAAAGTAACAGACGCTGCTCCTTTCAGTGGACTTCAAATATTGAATTCAAACCTGAGAAGTAATAAATCAGTCTTTTGCTGTGTTTGGATCACATGTATGCTGTGTTATGTAAACTAAAGAGTTTACAAAGACCTGGGGGAGCTCCTGCCTCCCATTGGTCTGACAGACATAATCTAAAAGTAATAATCCCCATGAAATTTTGTGTTAAATGCTTCAGTTTCCTTTTCTCTCCCTGCACACCTCCTAGTTCCCCCCTTTCCTCCAAAATGTACAAACTGTTTCTGAAACAACAACTTCAAAGCAGCAATGCACACAGCTTTGAGGTAAGAAGTCCAGTGTTAAGAGTGGGAGTGACTCATCTTTTGAGCTGCATTCAGCACTGCATAGAAATGAAGCTGCTTTTCAGCTATTTTTCTATTAGAGGAAGTGGGTAAGGACTGTCCTGGTTCCCATTTGTTGTCTGTGCACTTCTCAGGTAACTCACTACAGGTGGCTACCAATTGCTCCTTCTAGTCTACCAGAAGGAAAAAGCAGTGTAAAAGGAGACCCCAGGAGCCCCTCCTCTCCTCTTCAGGAGAACAGCAGGCAGATACGTGGAGCTGGGCACTGTGACACACCAACTACACTGGCTTGGTGCCAGCAAAAGTCTTCTCAGGATTCTGCATCCTCCCCATCGCAGGCAGCATGAATAATATAAATCTGCACACATCCTTTAGCACTTAGCAGGAAACACTTCTGTTTTTCAGCTGGTTTGTGGGGTTTTTGTGACAGCAATTCCATCAAGCAGAGCACAATGAAAGCAGTGAAAAAGCAAGTGTGTGCAAACAGTGATGAAAGCACAGTACAGCCTCTGCCTCTAAAATAATGAAAAAAGTAAAAGCACGCAAAGCAACAGCACCCAAAATTACTGCTTATCTGCTTATTATCAATATCCCAACCCATCTAATTCACTTGTACTGCTCATCTGGTGTCTCACATCTACCTAACTGGAATGTTTTAATCATCCTGAATTTACTTCTAAGGACATTTTATCAGATCACTCAGTCACGCCATATGATGCTATTTGCTGAGAACCACATGACTGGAAAAAACAAAACCAATCACATTTGGGAGATGGATAAAGAAAGCAGGAAGAGTTCTTCGGTGGTCAGTCAAAAACAGCAAATCCAAGTACAGTACAGAATTTTAAAGCTACTTCTTCAAAATAAAAATATTATGGCTATGAGTTAATGGATTACAA